AGTGCTAATCCAATATGGCGGATCTACTTGACGACGATGTGGCGTCCTCGAGAATGCACGAGAAATCACGCTATTCGCTAAACACGGGTTAGGTACAATGGGGATTAAAATTAAGCCCGGCTATCAAAACAACTTAAGGGGAACAATAGAGCAATGTTTACCCGTACGAACGTCTGGTCAAAAGGAAAATGCCGCTGTCCAATCTTTCCGTTTATTAGATCTTAGCTATAAACTGATCATCCTTAAGACCCAATATACACAACACAATGACACACACAACATACTATAACTGGATGTATAATTCATAGTTAATATAATAATTCAGTCATCTGTTCTCATCCATTACTAAACACTGTACTAAATTAAATGAAACTTGAAAATTAGCCAACTTGTAAAACTGGTTTATATATATCTGAATAAGTGCTTGCTGGAAGGCAAATGGAAGCAAATGAACAGTATGTGTTATCTTGAAAGACATAAAGACATGATGCTAATAGGAGCAAATTCTATGGCAAGATGGATGAATCCCAGAAGTTGAATCCCTGGAGTAAGAGGTATTTTATTATTTTATTACTTTTTATTATTTTCATTTATTTCTTTATTTTTTACTTATTTCTTTATTTATTTTTCTTTGGGGGGGGGGGGGGGCGTTACCAACAACCACAAGTAAGTACCTGATACATTCTCCCAGCTGGAGTATCTGATATCACAGCTTTCCAATGTCCTCTCTGCCCCTTCCAATTCTTTACATTAGGGATAATAGGATTGTTCAGCTCGTCACAGATCTAAGAAAACAAATCAATACTAATTCAATTTGTCAACCAATACTTTAAAACATCTATTAGCAGAAATGTACTTTCAATTTAGTATATTCCCACACATGCTGCAGGTTTATTTTCAATGGCAGGATTTTTAGTATCAGTACCATTCTTATTTCTTTGAAATCTCAAATCAAATTATATAAAAATCTGAATGACTTTAGCTTATTGCATTACTGTTTATTTGTTTGCTTTGGGGTGCATAATAACCTTAAACTTACCTTATCTAGAACCTCTCTGTCAGCAATTTCTTGTAGAGCAAGGATACCAAACCTGGAAAGATTTTCAAAAGATTTTCAAATACTTTAAATATGCAAAATCAATGCCTAAAAACTAAAACCCTGTTCCCACACCTAGACCGATCTAGCAGGATCGACCCATTTCTGAGGGGTCTCACTAAATTGCATTCTGCTTAAGCAGCTCTGATGTCTGGCATGCCTACTGAAGCTGTTAGGCGGTAATTAACCATCGGTAATATAAGCAGCTTCAGTGGGTATGCCAGACATCTAAGCCACTTAAGCCCTCAGAGATAGGTCTATCCTGCTAGATAGATCTAGGTATGGGAACAGGGTCTAAGTTGTTACAAATGTATAAATGCAGTGATAATATTAGTTCCAGGTGACTTTAACAATAATGTACCCTGGAGATCCCCCCCCCCTA